GTTAGCTTTTGGGGACTTGGATTCTGCTTTGCCACATATGAGGCTGACAGCAAGCATACGTCATGTCTCTCGTAAAAGATGAATATGCCGTAACGTACCAAAATCAGCGCCCTCCCGAGCCGTAATAATGAATGTAGTGCTTGCTGGGTCTTCAGTAAGGCTTTTTTGTTGAGCAACACTCCGTGAAATACAATCAGTTGGTGTTTCCATAGAAGCCGATGATACGTATCGAGTTTGGCTGAAATTAGTCCAGTCATGTTCAGCAAGACTTCATGAAAAGCCCAAGCTACTATGGAGGTGAAGGTTTACCGCTCCAGAGGGCTTATTTGTCATCATTTGGGCAACGTGATAGTTGGTAAGTTGCTAAGTGCATTAAACACATGTGCTACAACCACATGTAGTGGTTTGCGTCTATCGCTGATAAGGATCTTCACCACGTCCGTTCGAGCCATCCAAGAGGTTTAGGTCACCCCCGTGCAAAACACAGAATGACAACATTTATTAGTGTTCGGTTATTGCTCGATAAGTGCCTGAAAATTTTCTTAATCAACATACATACCTGGCGCAACTATTATTCTCGAAAAAAACGCAGCATTAATCACACCTATGTCATGGTGCTCCCTCAAACAAGCTTTAAGATGTGATGATTGTTTGACCCTTATTGGCTTTGTATAGACTGCATGATGAGATCATAAAGCTGGTGAGGATAATTGACCGAAGCTGAAAAGAACGTCAAAAGATGCTGATTGCGCTTGGATAGCTGCCAACATATCTTTTTGTGATGACATCTCAAGAATACGATGCTCGATAGATTCGTCGATTACATGTTGGCAATCTTCCACCAGAATTTGTTTCACTATGAGAACGAGGATACGTACATCTTCAGCATGCGAGCTTCTTCTTTATACGATTGAAGGTTACACGAGAGAGTAATGTTAGGTACTGGAGTGGTTACTCCATCGTCATTACTGTCTTGATAACTGACTTCTGCATCCAATGAGAGCGTCGAATCAAAGCCCGCATCCTAAAGAATATCACAACAATTTGGCGAGGTGGGCAATGAGTCCACCAACAAGTCGGATATTTTACGGCTCACAGGCAACAAGACCGACTAGCTCAATGTATCGTTGCTGACCCGATTGTCAGACCGGTACCATGAGTGCTGAACAAGATTCTATTTTAGCGCGCCTTTTGGTATGGCATCAACTATCATGCGCTTTGTCTTTGATCCAGCCCAGGCAGAGGCACGACTGTTGCGTATAGTAGAGCAGACATCTCATCTTGGTCAATTTGAAAACTGAATCCAAACTTCTGGTTATTAAGGGTCTTGA